AAAACAGACGGGAACAGTCTGTAACTCAGTTATCACCATTTTACGATACGTCGCGATAGTCGTAATAATTGTTGTCATCCTAACTTGTCCCTGTCTATTCTCCCAATTTGGCGCAAAGACGTGACCCCAGTCATGATTTATTTCTGCCACGATATAGATCTTGGGATATCCAATCGTAACTGCATTCGAAAACACTCCCACAGTAGCATGGAGTAAGACGGTGGAATGACTCCTGCTGTCTGTCCGTAATCACTGTCTCACCAGTGAAACCGATCCATCGAGAATACGGTGCGTGGGTTTAACACGTGACAACTCGTTTGTGTCATTTTGAAAGCAATATCCAGATGCGACACGCGTAAACACGTACATGCATAGTAATTAACTAAAACGTACTGCAGAGCACTGTGCGTGGACGTCATTTTTGTACAACAAACTTGAATGTTTTTCACATTGTGTTTGAATGACGTAAACAACTCCGTCGTTTACTTATCATTTGAACCTGTATACGCGTCTCAACTAGGCCGTCACGGTGCTGAATATTTCAACGAGCACGTTCCCATCACTAATTTGAAATAAATCCCGTGAGCGACACCTGACCCACGTTTCCGGTATAGAGATCGCCAGTTGTTGTAGATAACACATCTAAGTATAAGGAACTGTGCATATACATTTCAAAACGCGTTACGTAATGTGATGATGGATCCTCCATCTGGATGTTTATCACTCCGATCATTTTATAAATCCTGAATCTTTTGTCGTTTGTTTAACGTGATGAAACACGTCGTGGAACACGATTCTCTACTTTAGTGGCACTGCAAATCTAAATTAGACACATATTTTAAATGATCTCAGTATTTGCCGACGTAACTGATAAGAAATTGACGATTCTAGTATGATCTTGTGGAATGTGGTTTATTGTAACGTGTCTTTTCACCCAAGTGACATGTTTAGTAATCCATTTGTGGTGTCCATACCCCCCTAACGAGGTTACCCCGCTCGCTCCCACTCATTGGTAACTAAATAACTATGCCACGAGATTGGGGGGGGGGGGGCATTGAGATGACTCATTTGTGTCATTTACACCAGACCATTCGAACCATTTAGCATCGTAGAGACTGAGCCAACACATGGTACGCTAGTCTGTAGAGCTGGATAGAATAACTTAAACACAACAGCATTGCAACCTTCGAACTTAATTGCTCAGAGCTGATACTCGGCTATTTTTAGACAGTGATGACGTCACCGCTGATCTGATATTGCTCTTCTACTCGGCGCCCTATTGCAATGCATCATAATTAGAGTGGCCAGGCACCCCTGGATTGCAAGTAACTTACATTAATGATGTTGTTGACGGCATTTTGTCTTTTGCATGCAACTGTAATCACGTGTGGTATGTGTTACGTAGACTGCTTATATAGGTTTATGAATACATCCACGATAATAATAAGCAGTATACAGTGATCATTTTTCAAAATTACTTGATTTATGTGCCACACATCAACCAGAACCACGTGATGTCGCGAAACTATCTTAAAAACGAATCGGCAATTTAACAAGTTCTCCGATTTATTCGTCAAGCTTTAATTGGCATTACTCATTCTCTAACCCGAGGCTTACGTCGTCTCTTTATGGTAACCCTAGCAACGCAAGTATTTTATAGTACTCAACAAAAATGACACGCTACAGAAAAGGAATACAGAACTCTGCTATGTGACGACAAACAACTAACACTAATTACATAGCTGTAATGACAAATATCGAGGGAGAGGCAGTTGCTATGGCAATACTGCGGTACGACGAACTTGGTTTTGAGAGGGAAATCTGGAGGGATGGCATCAAGTTGACTCCCATATTCTTAGCACAACAAACCCACTCCCTTCACCTTTATACATATTTATAAATTACAATGGCAAGTGCATCCGATCAGCCAATCAAAAATCCTTTTAAAATGTGCCAATGATATCCCATTGTCTATAGAAATCTCTTGTTTTAGTTTGAATTACGACATTTCTAAATATTTATATAGATGTCTGGAAATCTTGATCAGATTCAATGTATCGGCAAACTAATAGATTCTACTTACTTTCCCATCATCTTTGAGAGGAGTTGCCAAGGAAGGCTGTTTCCACCATATTTGTATTTCATGAAAAACATTCCTGGAATATTCCCATTGCAACATCGGAAGGAATCGTCGTAAAACTATGACCACTTTACGACAGCGACTGTGTATTTACTTTGATTTAGACCACATCCTTACGGCTTTTTAAGAAACATTATTAGTTTTTACATTCAATTATAAGTGTCCGTGATTCGCATCTGTAAAACTATTCCAGTCACGTGATTTTATCCATAAAATGTAACCTGGGCGGTAAATCAGTCATGGTGACTGTTAGTAATTACGGAGATCGTGGTCAGACTTCATAATTAAATAACACGCTGTCACGTACTCAGTTCGATTATAATCGTAATATTGAATATTATTTCAACAAGAGTAGGAGGGGGCGTTTGACACGTGACCTTTGAATTATTTCGAAAAAGGAAAAATAGAATGTGGATATTAGCTTCACGGGATTCCTTTCTGTTATCTTGAATATCATTAATCGCAAGTTTCACTATAATGAATTAACGATAAAATGGATTTTTTTCTTGTGCTTTGTTAGAATCGGCCCAAAAGGTTCACAGAGTGTAAATTTGGGCTTTCTGTTTGTTGGGTTAATTTTAAATTCTGTCTGTAGTCTGTAGGCTATTGGCCGTGACATTAAAAGTGAGCATCTTCACGGTGAATAGACGCACCTATGGCTAATTGGGCTATTGATGAATGGAAGTGGCTAACACGAGTTAACTTGATAATGAGGTCAATTAGCACAGACGATACAAACTAGCAGTAATGACCAGTGCTAATGATGGCAACGCTATTACATTTAAACCATTGAATGTTGTTTTTATCTTTCTGTCTTACAGAAGATGCCGACGATGTTTACGACAAAACTTTTCGTGTTGATGACGACGAGGCAACAGTGCGTCTGTTCGACACGCCCCCGTGCGGCCATGTAAGTGCAATACTATAAATATTGAATCATTCTACAAATACAGAATTGTTTTTCTTATATCTCAATATATCTATAATCAATCTCAATATATCTATAATCAATGTCTTTACCGTGATAAACATCGGATATGGTTAACTTCAATACAGAACATTAAATGGAGATATGGCTTCACATCCCTGCCATGTAATCCCGAATTATAAACATGGTTGCTGTGACAGACATTATGCATCGAGTGCACGGCTAATACATGCAGTCGTGTTATACAAACACAACTCGGGAAAGACAATAGTGACACTGACGTATCCGCAAATGTCGTCTGACACACACACACAAATTATTTTAAAAAATAATAAAATGTCTTTAGACTTATACGTCTCGTAAGCTTACATACACGCTACACAATAAACATCTTTGCTATCACTAGGTTGAAGTACTATAGTTTCCACTTAGGCGTACGTTTTTTGTTTTTTTAAATGTTAGTTGAAAATGTTTCAAATGAGGAGAATTGAATTGTCTGCACTTCCATTAAACACCGATTTGCACGTCAAGTGTTTCAGTTTATGGAATGGAAGTCTCAGATTGATCGACGGTATAATTTTGTAGCGCTTTATTTGTTCGTAGGAATCATTTGAGAAAAACGAAGATAAATACTTAAAAGACGGGGACGCCTATTTGTTGGTGTATTCTGTGACGAGCAGACGGAGCTTTCAGCGGGCCAATGAACTCAGATTCAAGCTGCGGAAAGCGAAAGATACAGAAACTGTGCCCATCATCTTGGTGGGAAACAAGACGGACCTTGAAAGATCCAGGGAAGTGAGTTTTGAAGGTAAGAATCTATGATGGCGGGATATAAACGAAGACCATTCCCAGGGAAATGACTTATTGGCTAATTAATACGCTGGATAACGAGGTCACTGATGCCATAGTTAATGAGGCTGTCGCATGTCACCATTCAACCAGTCCTTGGGTGAGACAACATCGCAGAGATAAGCGCAGATCCTGGTTGAAACAAATTCTGCCCACTTTTTTCATGAAAAGATATAGGGAGAATTTAAATTATTCGATCCGCATCGTTTTCATTAGCCATATGAAATGTGGGTTCAATACATTTGACGGAGTTACGTCAGTATCATTTCAAAAGATTTTTAATTGTAAATACCACCACGTCATCGGTATGTGTACGTGAAAGTGGTAGATAGTATACATGCTGTTGACAACACATCCCATGCAAGGTACTCACTCATATTAAATATTTTGTTCCTATTTGCTTTAATTACAGAAGGAAGACATTTCGCAGCCTCGTTTAATTGTAAATTTATAGAAACATCAGCGTCATTAGGTCACAACATCGACGAAGTGTTCGAGGGAGTAGTGCGACAAATACGACTGAGAACGCAGAAATCGGACGAGCTTGCGGGGAAGTCAAAGGAAAGTCCACAGAAGAGGAGGAACAGTAAACGAAGGAGAAGCTCTGTGTTGAAAAGGGCAAGGGGATTGATCGGTCGCTTTTTTGGCAAAAGACACAGTGATCCATCACCGAGTTACAGATCCCGCTCAAAATCGTGTCATAATTTAGAAATTCTTTAAAGAACAATATCTTAGGCTGACACAGGTAGGCGGAATGCCTTCCACATTTAAAATGGTGCTCCTCAACAACTTTTTATTTATTATCTTTATTATTTTTCAATCCAAACAAAGTTCAGTCAGTGACTGGCTGGCTAGTATTTAACTGTAAAACATAATGTGTATTGCACTGTCAATTAAAGCCGATATCAAATCACAATTTTGAATGATTTAGGCGACGCACAGCGTCGTTATGTTTTATTTTCAACATATATTTGTTTTACATTTTCGTTCTGTCTCGGTAAACGGTTTTCATCGAGTTAAGCTATGTTTGACTTGGCCTAGTTATAATCATCGTTATTCTATTGTGCATTGTGCTAAAACACGATCGGAAATGCATTTTTTGTGTTATGTTTTGGGTTGTCAGGTCTTGTTTGATATGTACAGTCTGAATTTTGAAAGAAAGATATTTAACGGTGTTTTATCACAAGAGACATTTTTTCACAATTGTAATGCGAGTAGAGGTCTTCCTCGGGTAATGTGATTGGTGGAAATACCCGATTTGTATCAAACTGCATAGATATATATCATTTTTACTCTTCATGGATGATAAACAATAAACTTTATACTGATTCGTGAATTCTGGTGATTATTGTAAATAAGCTTGGAATAAAATTTCATTTTATAATAAATGTTGTTATATGTTTTTCATTCGGTTGTCATGGTATGAAAATCGGGTTTGTGAGTATTGCTCGACATTTTTGTTCGCCCTCAGGCTGTCAGTCTCAAAATATTAAACGAAAAGCGAGAAATGTTAGTGAATATGCAACTGTTTGCTGGTATTAAAGTTGAATGGCTGTGTAATGACAGGGTATATACCATGTGTACAGAGAGTTTAAATTCGTCTTTTATGATCTGATTTCACGTGTGGGAGAGATGCACGTGACAGGAAGTATTATGGAAGCCTGAGTGTTTGGGAGGTGGGCGTGATGGTATAATTGTTATTCGGTACCTGTATTTGCAACAACAGTGATGAACGAGATAAGCCACGATACGCCTCGCATTTTTTAGTAATTTCAGTTTACTGTCATGCGGTTCTATGTTCTTTAGCAAAATTAATTTACTAAGATGCTTAAAAGCGGCATGACGAAATCATTCCCAGTGGAATGAGGCAGGGTTGTGGCATGAGTTCGCCAATATTTGACATGACAATGACAATCATATAAATACAGAAAAATACAACCAGATTCAACAAATCTGTTGAACTGATTAAATAATTCAATTTTCAAGTGTCAACCTACTGTTGTCTTGGAATTGAACTAAACACTTTGCATAACAGGATATAAAAATATAGATATGAAAGCATTCTTCCAAATGATACATTTATGATCTCAGATACACATATACCTATACAAACATATCATAAAACATGTGACACGATGAAACCAATAATGTCATACTGTGCAGACATATTGTCAGATTGCATAACAAAAGTTCTACGTGCATATTGTGTCCAATGAAACAAATACCTACTGTGCATTCTTTATTTACAGCAGGTATAACAGATGATCAAATACACCTCACACGCCCTTCTGACATGTGAATTGCATAAAGTTTTTCAATAAAATAAAATATTATGCGAGTGTATAAATGGCGAAAGCTGGGTTACTGTGAAAGTGCGTGTCCAATACTATCAGTGACACTAAATGTCAGCTAGATACCATACACACACAATTCCTTCTAAACGTAATTATGTTAATTAGTTAACCTCCAGCTACTAGTATATCAAGATTCACACAGAAATTTAAATATTGGCAAACATTATTCAAAAAGTCAGAAAATAATTTAGAATAAATATGACTAAATGAAATTGGCACACTGGCACAAAGCCAACTCTAAAATCACTCAAACTGGATGACATTTAGAATACAAATATATCTATAAAGGTGACACATTAACTAATTTAAAGGAAGGTGGTCATCGAACAGAACGCGATGCTACGACCACCGCCCTTTAAAATCACCCTACTGTAAACATATCAAAGGACCATTGTAAGACGCGATGCTACGACCACCGTGACCGCCCTTTAAAATCACCCTACTGTAAACATATCAAAGGAACATTGTAAGATGGCGATAAAGATATCATATAAATAAATACAGAGAACTTACAACTGACATTACAACTGATTATTTTTTTTTAGATATAATCAAAACACCGGTGCATTGATATGCAATGACCAAATTTAGGAATAAGTGCACACATTTGGCACATCAGAGAAATTCAGATTTGCTGTATGTAAGAATGGCGAAATTGAAGACGAAAAACATTCACTGTGTCCATTAACAGAACTGATTTTGTAGGAATCCTGAGTCAAAATTGAATCAAGTCAGCTTGTTGACTGCCAGGGATGTTGATACAACTTATGACCCATATTTATGTTGTTTATAACTATAGTAAGATTGTTTGTTACATCAATGGCACACGAATTAGTATAACTAGCTACGTCACATATTACCTTTGCGTGATTGGCGCGTCATTTCAGCATGATAGAAGACACACTGCCTGGTGTTACACTGTAATGGCTACCAAAACACAGAGATACATTAAACAAATTCAACTTACAACGATATACACAATGGTAGAGAAAATTTAACAGATTCATCTATCAATGTTTCTTCATTCCCGTGACAATAATTCGTTTCATATTTTGTTTTTTGTTATTGTATTTATGTTATCACTTTATTGTGTATGTCAACATTTCACTGTATTTCTATTATTAATTCACCGTTTCACTGCGGATGTGATATCAAGAAATATTAATATTATAACTTTATTATAGTCGTATTCACCTTTGGTTATTGATGAGAAGATACAATAAATGTAGTAGAAAAATAGAAAATAAAAACATCCTATGGATATGGAAAAGCATGACAATTAACACGTGATACAAACATGACGATATAACGCTTTCAACATCTGCTTTATGTTACAGCCACACCTAGTCTACCAGAAGGCGCTGTGTCACATGACTAACAGCGCTTTGCAACATATCACATGATGATGATTTACAAAAATAGTCCATATTGCAATAGTTTAAACGCCATACACCTACATACGTTGTTACATGTGAATTCATTGCATTTTAAATGAACATCTGTAACGTACCATCAATATATACTAGACTAGTGAGTGTCTACAATTTATATTTTAGTTCATTAACTCCCAATGAAAACTATAATCCACAAGGGCCATTAGAGAAATGAGATATGCAGTGACTTTTGACATTAATCTAGCATAATAATAGTACACCAAGTCGTTGATTTCCTGAATTAGTAATGTCGATGTATGTGTCGTATGTGGATGCACTACCAAACACTGATGTACACCAAGTCGTTGATTTCCTGAATTGATAATGTTGATGTATTTGTCGTATGCAGTCGACATGTACACTGATGTACCAGCATTGACACCACCAGCACAAGAGTGCATATACTATTCACATGTATATATCGCAAACAGTAGTCACGTTCAATGTCAATAATAGTTAGCATCATCAATATCAATATCATTGTTGCATATTATTAGCAATAATGTGTACTCATATCACGCATTTTAGTAGAGTAGCTGCAAGTGTTCATGGGATTTTAAGGTTATCACGTGATATCACTTATTCGTGAAGCTGGTTGATACTTGTGACGTCACTTGTATAAACCTGGTCTACGAACAAGCTATATCAAGTGATAATCTCATAGTATTTCAAACAATATAATTAGTAAACAATGGGTTGTATGGGATTAATATCGTAAGATTGTATGGGATTAATGTCGATTTGTTGTATGGGATTAATGTCGTAAGATTGTATGGGATTAATGTCGTAAGATTGTATAGGATTAATGTCGATGGGTTGTATGGGATTAATGTCGAAAGATTGTTTCGATGGGTTGTATGGGATTAATGTCGTAAGATTGTATGGGATTAATATTGATGTGTTGTATGGGATTAATGTCGTAAGATTGTATGGGGTTAAAATCGAAGGGTTGTATGGGATTAATATTGATGAGTTGTATGGGACTAATGTCGTAAGATTGTATCGATGGGTTGTATGGGATTAATGTTGTAAGGTTGTATGGGATTAATGTCGATGGGTTGTATGGGATTAATATCGATGGTTGTATGGGATTAATATCGATGGTTGTATGGGATTAATATCGATGGCATACATTCCATGTCGAAATCAAGTATTTAAATAAAGGTGTTATAAATAATGTAATTATAATGTGATATGACATATTGCAAATGTAAAGAAAATGCTTGCATATCTGAGATGTTTATTTATGGTTCAAACTATTTCAAACTATTATTTCGTTCCGAGTTGTCTTATATTGAGTGTCAGTCCAGTCAGCTGCAATTTTTCAAGAAACTCATTCTTCCAAACTATTATTCAATTGGCTTTCTATGTACCTTGGATGATTTCATTCAAATTACTTCCATGTTTGGAGCGTAGGTACCTTGTATGACCTCATTCATAAGGTTTTTATGTTTGGAACATAGTACCCTGGGTGACCCAATTCAGTGGGCTTCCATGTATTAGGTATAGTTACCCTGGGTGACCCAATTCAGAGGGCTTCCATGTATTAGGTATAGTTACCCTGGGTGACCTAATTCAGATTTGAGTTGATTTTAAGAAAATATTTACATTTACAGTTGTCGTGATAATTCCATTTTTGCTTTGTCATTTGGTGTGTAGTTGTGACCTGTTGTGACCTCTTCCTGAATTTATTATTTTGTGCGCTAACTTTTCTATTTATAACGAATGTGAAGGTGATTTTTATCTAAATTTCTGCTTTTAACTGATGTTTATGCATTTGGACAATACTATCATTGCACGGTTGCTCATTTCATGAAAATGCATGCTTACA